TTTTTTTTTTTTTTTTTTTTTTTAATTTAATGAATTAATCGTTTCTGCACATTCGATAGCTCATTCAACCTGAAGCTCACAGGAAAGTAGTCAACGTAAAGAGTTGATAAATAAAAACTCAACGTTCACTTCCGAGATGTTGTTAGTTGCCAGAACAGATAATGGTTTTAGTGTTACGCTTTTATTGGGTTTTTAAAGTCGAGACCACAGCTTGGTGAGTTTATTAAGTGCATGTATGTGTGTAAGTGTGCGTTGATGGTATTTCTAGTCTTATGCTCCTGTGCTTTAATCACAACCAACATGGGCATCCTTTAATTTCACGTTTTTTTTTTTTTTGGTCGAGACGCCTCTCATTCATTCCTACAACGATGGTGACATTTTGAAATATTATTAGTGTTGTTTAAACAAATGTTTGATTTCATAACAAAAATAGCTTTATGATTATTTTTAAATACTCTATATTAACTTGGCGTTTTATGGGGGGCTGACTGGCTAGATGACAGACTAGCAAAATCTTCAGATGGCTAGTTGACCCACTTACCGTCAACCTACCGAGCTGAAACTTGACACATAGACTCGTTGCCAATGACAACACATTCTTTCAAAATGTTAAACCCCCCCTCCCCCCACCAAATCACGCCATTTCAAGACGAAGAGGAAGAAAATATGTTGACACTGATTTCACACAATAAAATTCCCCATCATTGCGCTAACGGAGATTCTTTTTTTTTTTTTTAATATTCTCCAGCGCGTTTAATGCGTAATAATATTTTCTTTGATTTTTCTGAAACTGTGTGGGAAAAAATTATGTGGTTTACACGCCTCATGGCTATTAAAATATTAATATAGCTCAGACTTTTGAAAAGTGTGCAGTTCAGTGTTTATTTCAGAAATTTTGCTCAGGGGNCAGTGCCCTGCAGTTCCAGTTGATTTATTGTTGGATATATTTTTGCGCCGGGGAACACTTGGCTTTTCCCGAGGGGGCACTGCCCCCCGGAGATATAGCTGAAAGAAACCCTGGTGCGGTTCTGAGCATTGAGAAAGTAAACACTAATAGCTCGATATTACACTTCATATCGGATTTATAGGGGATTTACACTTTCTTCGCTTTTGTTCGAAGCTGGCTGGTTTGTTGGCAGACAGGCTGGGACAAAATTTTCGGAAGTCTTACTGAATCCCCGAACCGATCTATGAGCTGAAATTTGCCGATTAGACTCGTTGCCGAACTGACACTTGGCAAATATACTGGTTTCCGAGCTGATACCTGGAAAGTAGACTCGTTTCCAGTCACAACAAATTCTTTCAAATTTTTAACCCCTGCTCCAATCACCAAATATCACCCCCCCCCTTTTTTCCCCTTTTTCCAAGATGAAGTTGCAGGAAATATGATGACACCGATTTCAGGATATAAAATTCTAGATGGCTGCGCAAAATATATATTTTTTTTTAAAGAATACGGCAAGATCATCTGGTGCGTAACACTTTCTTTTGTTTTTGGTGGAATTGTTGGTGAAATAAATCAGTGGTGGGGTTAGAATATCATTATTGCTCAGGGGCGTGTAAAAAAATGTGTTGTTGTGAGCCTTGGGGGCGGGGGGGGGGAGGGGGGAGAGCACTAATTGGGATTCTTATGCAGCGTGTTACTTTAATGCATGCATTGACCCATTTTGCCACACTTCTTTTGCTCGATACATTTTATAAAGAATTTAGTAGCCTCAATGAGGTTCTCTGCTATTATTTTTTTAAAAAGTTATGTTACGAAAAAAAGATGATAGCTTTATGTGTTAATCTTGTTCTTCTTTTAAATACTTCGCTCAGGCGTTGAGAAATCTCATGCAATAAATTTATCTCCGTTACTGGATAATCATGAGAGCTTTTCACTTTAATATGTTCAAAATCCATTTTAAGTTTTATGAACTAGTAAAAAAACAGTGGACGTCTTCCATTTTTTAAATTTTTAAAAAATTATATTCCATTTTTTTTGAAAGACCAAAAATGTTCTATGAAATCAAAAATGGGACCATAAATGTACTGTCATTTCACTGCCATCATGCACTCAAAAAATAGCGGTAGGAGCGCCTGCAATCCCGCAAATTCCATCGTACCACTAATCCCAAACATTTCTCCATATCAAAAGCCATTTTGTTTGTTGAGCTTATCAAAGAGATTTCTTAAGGCGGTCGCTTTTACTGGCGTCTATAAAAGAAGTATTATTTTTTTTCCTCGTGTTTTTGAGGTATTAAAATTTCATCCAAGAAAAATACATTAGGTTGGCATTAAGTGGTATTTGTAATCTTTCATCGACTTGTAATAGCTACAAACTACACTTTTTAAGTGACTTTGTATAAAAAAATAGGACACTTTCTTTAAAAAAAATGTGACTACAATCAAGTCATTTTTTTTCATTGTGCAATTTGATAGCACCCTTTTTCTTACACGGGTAAACCTGCTAGTATCACATATTCGAGAAGAGAAACTTGCAATTGATAGTGCCATTATTTTTTTGGCAAGTCTATAAGAATTTTCAGTTTCAGGAAATATTACTAATATTTTCTTAAAAGAGAAGACAGTGGTTTACGAATGAACACACTAAGGAAAATACAAAGACATAATAATAAAGTAGCTTTCCTTTGTTTTTTTTATTGAGGAAAAATATCCTTCAACTTAATAAATTTGTGTGTGGATAATTTATAACCATATTAACAATTAATAAATAAAAACGAAGAAGGTGTACCATGTTCATAATGAAAGGGAAACCAATTGAGAGGGCCAAACGTTGTTGATAAAATAAAAATTCAAATCAAAACCTAAAAAGATCTATACCTTTTGATCTATTTTCCCTTATTTTAGCGAACCTATAATTAAAAATAAAAGCTTGCTATAATAACTAGAACCCTTGTTTAACATAAATGAAAAATTAAGTGATCTCTTTCTAAAAAAAAAAATGTTTTGTTCCCAAAAAATAAAATAGACAAGCGGAAATTCCCATAAATCTGTTGAACGCGGCATAAAAATGTGGAGTAAAACGCTTTTGGGGCGTCTCCATGGCTGAAAACAATACAACATGGCGCACATGGTGCACAAAGGCTCTGTCGTCGCTGCGATATTGGAGGATATCACGGCTTTCTTTGCTGTGCGCTGTCTTTGAGGAAGGATGGTACATTTCTTCTGTGAATGATCCAGGGAGTGAAGCCAATAGATTTCATCGGAGCTCCTCTGAAATTTTAATTTTAGGGTCAATTTTAGGATAAATAAAAAATGACCGTGGTCCAGTGTCATAAGACATAAACAGTACTTTTGGTGATTGCATGTTCAGATAATGCCACGTTCTGTTATATATTACCTTAAGAAATTGAGTCAGTTGGCCGTCGAGCTTAAAGCTCTTTATGCCCTCCACATACCAACCCCCCCCTCCCTAAGCCAAGTATCGGGCCGCGAAGCGGCACGCTGGAGATGTCTATTTGATAGGACAGCCCCCACCCAAGGCTGCTCGATCGGGTTCCGCTGGGAGCCGCCCCAACCCAAAGACGCCCGGTGGGTCCAACAATGTGTTTGCACTCAGTGCACACGACCAATTTTCTCAGGAGTCGGGATGGTAAATTTACGTCCTAATATCGTCCCCCATCCATACCGGGGAAGAGTTGGACGCCCTTTAAGAGGGATTCTATAGTGGGTTTCCACAACGCAGCTAATTTGCGAAGTATCTGGGACTAAACGGTTGCCTTGGAACAGCTTCTCAAGGCTGCATAGTAAGAATAATCGGCCTCTCGCCTTATATCCACTAACGGCAACTTGTAATCATGACCCCTACCCTGTCTCAGTCTCTTCGT